ACTTGCGTCTTGTTTGCAATACTTTGTAGATAAGAGTTTCGTTCTGCATCAGTCTGCAGAGTAATGAGACCACCTATTCCAGCAATTTGATCTATCATATACTCGCTGGAAACATCATAATAAGTCTTCGCCATCAGAAACAAGAGATGCGAATCACGATCGATATCTGTTGCCGCTTCAACCAGCATGGTAACATAAAGCATCTTGTCGAGATCATCTAGCGGCTTATTCAATTTTTCAGCGTCAGCTATGACACCAAGAAAATTTTCCATGACTACCTAGATTTATAGAAAATGCGGTTCTGAATGTCTAACCAAGGTTAGTCGATTTAATTGAAAAGAAACTGTATACTTACCTTTTGAGTATTGTCCGCCATTACATCAAGTCGACTAAAGAATCTGGTGAGACGACTCCATTGTTCCTGAACTTCTGAGATCTTTTTTGCTGCATCTAACAGTACTTTAATTGTTTGATTCAATGTCATTTCCGCTAGATTAAGAGTTGCTAACTGTATAACTGCAGTAGTCATCGAATTTTGTTGGATTATTTGCTGATTGTATAACTGCTTGGCTTCAGCTTCTGCTTTTTGGAGATTTTTCTAAACTGTGGCAATAGAACAAAGTTATAATGTGAAAGATCAGCATACCAAAGCTTCTTCTGCTTTCCATCTCGCTACTGTACTGTACTCATTGAACTGTTGATCACGATTCGATCGACATTTTTTCCAGAACCATGAGCCAGTGCACGATACAGCAGGACGGTTACTGGCATAAACATTCCAAGCATGAGCATTCCATTCGCCACCAGGTACGTTCAACATTGCTTGACGATATTCATCTCTGGCACTTTCTAATCTATTTTTAGCCTCTTCATACTCTGATGCTAATTGATCTATGTTTTCTTGTAAATTTTCTGATTCCATTTCAACTTGGATAGTCTGATTCTGTAGTTGTTCTGCCAACAATTTATTCTCTGTATTTGTGTATGTACTTGCTTTAAAGATTTCATCAAGAAGGTCCATAAGATTTGTGAAGCGATCGAATGTAGCTTTTGCAATAGTAGCACTTTGATTAGCATAAAGTCCGATGTTTGAGATTGTTCGAGGCAGCATTACTTTTGCCATAGATGTTGAGGCTTGGGTAATAAGTTTAAGAGCTGTTTTTATCAAATTTGGCAATTGGCGCATGTTTACTTGAATACGATCCATAGATGTATGAGCATTAAGCAAGGCTCTATACATTTCATTTGCAACTTGTACAATGGTAGTGTGAAATGAATTGGGATATTGAATAAGATGATAAGAGAAATTTGATGAAAGACTGAAGTCTTTTTTGCTGCCAACGACCATTACAGCTCCAACAAAATTTATGCTGGCAGGTCCTCCAAGCATCATCTCTTCCCATTCAGCGTCTATGTCCGATGCGTACATGAGTTGTTCATCGATCATCGGATCAGATAAATTGCTGGATAAGGCGCGACTCATAGATTCTAAAAAGTTTGGGCACATTATGGATCATACAAAAGAAAGATTCTCTAACTAATCGTTTAGCAAAAAAAACAATTGAAAAGATAGGTTTTGAAAATCTTTCAATAAAAGTAGCATAAATAGATGCAATTTCGCCAAATAATAAGGAAACGCTTAAAATAAGAAGCATATGTTAACATACAATGGCAAATTCTTGACAAAGGTTTTCAAGAACTTCATTTTCAGTTCGGTTTCCCTTGAATCTTGACATTGTATAAAGCGGACGAAAAAGTAGCTTTTTCTTTCTTCATAGGAAAGTCTCTGAATTGCACTATGTTTTACTTAGAAATTATTTGCAATCTTCCATTATATCTGAGATCAAATAAGTGACTCTGAATGAAAATGTCATAATTTATGAATGAAATAATTAACAATAACAAAGTGAATGGTTGTTCAGTGTTAATGTTTTGAAAAGATAAGTTTCAGGGTATCACACCGATATTTCGAAAATCTCTAGTTCCGTATTTTTCTAGCGAGTCAGTGTTGTTTTCAAATGATTCACGATCAAATTCAAAAGCTTGAGAAACTTTAGAAGACTGTCAATACTTTCCCAATTGTTATCAATTTTTTCTTTTCGGATTAATACTATCTTTTATCAGTCGCCTCAGCGTTTTTAATGATGTTAGAGAAATGTTTGTTAGTGTTGACAGAAATTGAACAGTCACATGAGTCGTACATATGTCCGAAAAAATTATTTGTCACTATGAATTGTTTCCATTGAAGGTTGCAGTAGAAAAAAGAAAATGTCTCTTGCTTATTTTACACTCAGGTCAACAAATATGCACCGGTTCCCATAAAAAAATGGCGAGAATCAACAGAACATGGGGCCATTATTCCAGTTATGGATTTTTCGGACATTTTTTCGTTGAATTCCAGTTCACTCGTACTCTTTCCGACAGAAAAAGACTGGTAATCACTTGAAAAGGTTCAAAAATTTTCTGATCAGAATACTCCTTTCATGTTTTTTTGATTTGTTATGCTTTCCGGGAAAAAGCCACAATGTTGCTTCGCATTTTCTGGCGGTTTCTACAGTATCCAGTGACTACAACGACCAGCTCAGATAGAGAGCAATCATCGATCGCAGATCAGAAGTTCAATTCGAAAACGAGGGCATTTTATTGTTTTCTGCTCGTTCATGTGTGATAGTATTAAGATCGTATTTCATGCTGTTGCACATGTGTAGAAGCTCAGATCAATGATTACGGCGACCGTAAATGTCAAAACTCATCACATTTACTTTCTTTCCAGCATTTTGCGAACATAGATTTGTCATTTGGTATCGACCGTATAATGACCATTTTTTGTCGTATCTTATACGATTTATAATTACTGCAAACGGTAGAAAAACTGAGTTTCTATTCATTTATGATACAATAAAATACACCTGTGATAGAATGACTAGAAAAGAAGTCAAGTAATATAAAACAACTGTATACGACCGTTTTAATTTTTCTGGGTTTGGAGGAATGTAGTCTATTTTACATGTCCCATTTTAATGGGTACGGATGCTCATAATAGTTTATCAGACGATTTTTAAACAGTTGCTATTCGGTGCACATGAAACAGTCGCTTATACCTCCGTGTCTTTCATCTAGGTACTCAATTCAATCAAGGAGTATGATCAAAGACTATAGCTGGTGGCCTATTGAATTTATATCATGTACGGGGAAACACAGATTGAAGTGGCCTAATTTTTTTCTGATCAGATCGGCATTTCAATAACAATATATTCTTTCTTGTGGGCTTGCTCGGTATCATCACATGTAGTAGTATTGCTTCGTCATTAGTAAGAATTAACATGGCATTATTCAAAATATTCTAGGTAACGATTTTCAAATCGAAGAAGGATGATCGCAAACGATCATATAAGGCAATATACGGCTATTTACATGATCCAGCATTACGGTTGTGTATTTCCATTCTGGTATGTAGAGAAAAAAGGTCGTAAACGACCCTTGTATACCGAGTAGATATCGGATATTCGTTTTGCTCCGTATTTCTCAGTATACGATTGTGTTTCTTCATATACGGTCATGGTAACATACGATAGCAATACCGGACCATGTGAAACACTGAAGTACAACCGTTTATGATCATATCGTGAAGGTACATGATAGCTTGTGAATGTATATGAAGTCTGTAAATATCGATCTGAGCAATGCTTTCCAATGAATTTCTATCAATGTTTACGCCTTCCGTACACTTCTCGGCATCGCTAAGGATGACCGTTTAGCATCGTCGCAAATGTATTTCTCGAACTCCCCTCTTATAGAAAAAGACTGTAGTTTGTCACCGTAGGCACTATATGCACTTATATGCCAACGCGCATACGTTGCTCTCGAGATTTCGATCGTCTAATAGTACAGAACGATTAACAGCAGCCCTTTACTGACTGCAAGTGAAATGCAAAAGTATGAGTGAACTACAACGAATTATTGATGAAGTATATGCTTTTTGAAGTTCCCTTTTTACTCGTTGACTGAGTGATGGTATAGATTTTAATCTTAGCGAATGTTAAATACACGCGTCCCCATCCAAACCTGTGAGTACAAGTACAAATGCAAGAATCAAGTGCTTCTTGACAAAATACAAAAACCAAAAAGTACACATGCTTTCGTTGAAGTTCCGACTGGATTTGATCGGTTTTCGTGTAGAAAATTGACAATCTTGATCAAAAGTACATCAAATGCAAGTGAAGTCAAATCCTGTATATCTAATATTATATTTTCTTAACTTCTTAAGGATTATTGTAACAACTGCAAATTGAAAATTAAAATATATTGTTTTCTCTTGGTAATGTATACATATACATTTATGATCAAACGCTTGTTCTGGGATAGTTCTACTTCGAGGAATAGCATTCGACTTGCTATATGAAGGCAGATGTTTTTAAAGACGATATGTTTTATTGGCATAAAAATGAAAATCGAAATCTGGCGATTCAGAATCTCAATTTTTTCTAGTCGATAAGGTCACTACCTTATTGTGGGAGTGCGTGTTAAAAAGATATGATACTTGTTATTCAGTTGAAATAGAACCTAATGATAAATTACGAATTTTTAAAAGAAGGTACCGACTTTATAGTCTGCATAAAAGAGAGCGCCTTACCTGGTATTGTATCGATTCCCAGAGCAAGTTGTTGAAGAAACTCATTATCATCCAATTGAGGCAATTGCATTATTTCATTGATATTCAAGCGAGTAATTGTTTGAGTATACGGATCATAAAACGGATCAAATACCTTGGATAAAAAAACTGTGTGCGCTATCGAAGGTTCGATCAATTTTCCATCGATCGAACCGACGATGACGGCTAATATTATAGCGAATGTTTGAGCTATACTGAAGAGCATATTGAAGATATAAATCCACAGACAATAGACTTACCGATGGTCATCTTAAATAAAAAAAATATTTTATGAGATAGAATGAGAATCGAATGCCTCTATTTATTACTGTCTGACAGTATTGGCATTAACTCAGCTGTATAACATTCTCATTGTTTCTCACGACTTTCAACAATGTAAAGGTTTCTTATCAGTTATTGATTTTGTATTTTCGCGGAACAACTGAATGCCTGACTGTATTTCACAGTAATTCCGTTTATCTGCTGATCTTGAACTCATTTTTGTGAATTTGGCTTCGAAGTACTTTGATCTTTGCTCGATATGAGAAAGGTAACAATTGATGAAATCGATATTGAAGATATCTTATTACGTTTTGCATGAAACTTTATTGAAGCCTTGCTAGAACTTCTCATATATGAATATTTTTTAGTGGATTAAATATAGATCTTTTGTAAATAGTGGTTTTTGAAACTTTGCAGAAAAAAATCACCGATGCATGTAATATTTTGAAATAGTTCTTGATTACAGAGATGTTTTTAAGGATGACAGAAAGTAATAAAAGAAAAAAACAATATATATATATATATGGGGGTGGTCAATTTGACTGGTACCCCGTTTTGATACAGTCCTATTGTACGGATAAAACCTACTATTGTCCGAACCATATAATAGAGGATCCTATATAACCCTGGATTGGCCCGAACAACACTATGTTTTATCCTTACAATAGTAGGAAAAAGCTACCAGCTCACGATTGAGGCTAGTAGCTTTTCTCTACTATTATACGGATAAGACGTGGTGTTGTTCGGGCCAATCCAGGGTTATATAGGATCCTCTATTATATGGCTCGGACAATAGTAGGTTTTATCCGTACAATAGGACTGTATCAAAGCGGGGTACCAGTCAAATTGACCACCCCCATATATATGGTTAAGTAGAATGGAAAATTAGTTCTATGAACAGAAATTCAATACTAAAAAAAAGAACAAATAAAAAGTATTATAAGAGGAAGTCAGTTACATAATAAAAAAGGAGTCCAAAATTTTCAATTTGTCAATGAAATAGGTTGACATAGTAATACTATGTTTGAAATCCTTGATATATGTGCGAGTGGTTACATGAACGTAGATTTCAAGTTATGCAATTAGTAAAGAAAACAAGGATTGTGTTGAAAAACAGAAATGTAAATGTTGAAGACTGCAGGTAAGATGCTATTCCTGACTGATGCCATGAACTTGAATTATTAAGAATTACAGTATTTGTAGTACATAGTGATTGTGGTCTTGTTGTTGTTGAACTGATATTACTAATCGCCACTAAAATTTCCTGATTACAGAGAGCCTTCGCTACATTTAGATTTTCACCGAATGAGAAAGTGACGTTCGATTTCATGTCAACAAATATCATAATCGCCCGTAAATTTTCATATTCTTCAGCGTAATAACGAAATCGCACATCGACGCAATTGTACAGAAGAAAAATTCGACGATTTGCTGGTCGTTGGCCTGTTGCACGCAGAAGGATTTTCCACACTGGATCCCTATGCTCATTTATTGTCGCCTCGGGGACAGAAATTTCCAGAATTCCTGCATAGTTAATGAACCAGTCAGGA